TAAGTTGCCAGGGTCACATTATTACGTAGTAAATTGAAGGACATCAGGGAGGAAATGAGAACAGCACGATGGCTTAGTGGTTAGCACTGCTGCCTCAAAACTCCAAAGACCCAGCTTCAATTGCATCCTCTGGCGAATGTGTCTACGTTGGTTTCCTCCAGGTACTTCAGTCTCAGGTTAGATGGATTGGCCATGCTAAATTGCCCATAGTGTCCAGGGAAGTGTAAGTAGAATGATCAGCTGTAGGAATTGTAGTGCCACAGGAGCAGAGTAGGGGTATGGCTCTGGGTGGGGCCCTTTTTGAGGGTCGTTGTGAACTCGATGGGCTGAAAGGCATGCTTCCACACTGTAGGGATTCTGTGAAATGACAGATGCTGTGAGGATTGTTTTCCAACCTTCACTAGACAAAGGTGAGATACTGGAGGACTGGGGGAATGCAAATGTGGTTCTGTGGTTTAAAAAGGGTACAAAGGAAAAGCCAAACAATTATAGGCTAGTTAGTCTGACTTAGGCTGTGGGCAAATTGTTAGAATCAATCCTGAGAGATTGGATAAACTGTCACCGAGAAAGGAATGGACTATTTCCCTTTGTTAAGGGAAGATCATGCGTTATAAATTTTTTGAGGAAGTGATAGGGAAGATCAGTGAGGGCAGTGCGGTGGATGTTGTCTCCATGGATTTTAGTAAGGTGCAGGACAAGGTCAATAAAGTAAAAGCCCATGGTATAAAGGATAATGTGTTGAATTGGATCAAAAGTTGGCTCAGTAACAGGAAACAAAGGTTAGTGGTCGATGGCTGCCCTTGCGAGTGGAAAGCTGTTTCAAGTGGTGTTCCTTTGGGCTCGGTGTTGGGACTGCTGCTGTTTGTTTCACACTTTGATGATTTGGTCTTAAATCTGGTGGGCACAGTTGGGAAATTTGCAACTGTCACAAAAATTGGCTGTGTAGTGGATAGCGTAGACGCTAGCTCCAAATGAGATAGCTGGTGGAGTGGTCAGAAAAGTGGCAGAATGGCAACTCTGATAAGTATGAGGTAATGTATTTAGAAAGTTCAAACAGTAAAATGGAATGCATAATAAACAGGAATATACTGAGAGGTGTAGATGAAGTGAGAGATCTTGATGTGCAAGTGCACCAGTCCCTAAAGGTAACAGTACAGGTAGATAAGGTTGTAAAGAAAGCATAAAGGATGCTGTCCTTCATTGCAGAGCATAGAATACAAAAGTAGGGATATAATGATGAAATTTTGTTAGACACTGGTGAGGCCACAACATTACGGGAAGGACTTAATTGGTCTGGAACGAATGCAGCGAAGATTTATTAGAATTTTGCCAGGACTGGAGAATTGTAGCTACAAAGTGAGTTTAGAGAGGTTGGGTTTGTTTTACTTGGAATAGAGAAGGCTGAAGGGCGTCATGATTGAGGTAGACAGAATTGTGAGGGGTAGAGATACCGTAGACAGGAGGAACTTGTTTCCCTCAGCAGAGAGTTCAAATACCAGGGGTCTTAAATTCAAGCTAAGTGGCAGAAGGATTAGCGGGCACATGAGAACATACGTTTTTTACTCAGAGTAGTGGGTGTCTGGAATTTGCTGCCTGAGTTGGTGGAGGTAGAGACCCTAAACTCTTTGAAAAAATACCTGGATCTACACATTAAGTGCTGTAAACTATAGGGTCATGGGCCCTATGCAGGAAGATGGGATTAGAAAGGACAACTGCGTGACTTTGGACAGCATGGACAAGATGGATTGAATGGTCCCCTTCTGTGCTGTGTCATTTCTATGGTTCTGTGAGTCAGAGAAAGTTCCCTGAAAAGAGAAACTGCACTTTTGTAATTTCTGTTCATAAAAAGAATAAATTAGAGCCAAGGTCTGCATTTAAACTGGATGATAAATTGTTGTCCTCTATGCTCTTGATACCAGGTGTAACGAATGTGAACCAAATCCTTCTTTTTCCTCCCATGGCATCTCTCCCTGCTGTAAATTTGACATTCACAAGACAAAATACCTGCCAAGGACCAGAGGTCTTGCTTTCTGATGCACCAACTACACTTTTATTTTGGCACTATTAGTCCTTCAAAGTGGCTAGTAATATGTTGTAACTTGAAGCATTGGTAAAAGAGTGGCTGGGAGAAGATTGATGTTACTCACTGGTTTTCTGTTGCAATTCTGTGCTTATGGTGTGTATTACGATCAAGGTAGGAGAAGTATGCTGTCTCCCTCTGGCCCAACTACTCCACTGGTCACAACATATATTTAAATGTTGTATACAGTTACTGAAGATGTTAATTAAATACTTTATCATAAGTTCTTGGAAAAAAAAAGAACAATTCATAATATTCCTCATCAGTTTAACTTTATATTGTGTTATCCTACTTGTGTGAAATTTAGTTTCTTCGTACATCTCTATAACACAAAATTGCTTAGGCTTTGAAAACCACAAACAGTGAGTGCAGTTTTGTTCTGGAAAAAACCATAAACATACAGAATAACTATTCTACACTAAAAGCTGCACAAACTTTACCCATGAAATGTTAATAGAAAAGTTCATCTTCCTCGGGTACGATCATTTATTTGAATTATTCACCTCTTGAAATGTAACCTGACTAATGCACTTACATTTTCCTTTGGTAGCATAAATAACATATTCTGATCAACTTATCACTTGTATAGCTTGGCCCTGAGTGGTGACCAATCTGCCTCAGATTTGTTTTTGATATACATAAATGATCTGGAGGAAGGTATAGATGGTCTGATTAGCAAGTTTGCAGATGACGCTAAGATTGGTGGAGTAGCAGATAGTGAAGGGGACTGTCAAAGAATGCAGCAGAATATAGATAGATTGGAGAGTTGGGTGGAGAAATGGCAGATGGAGTTCAATCCAGGTAAATGCGAGGTGATGCATTTTGGAAGATCCAATTCAAGAGCGAACTATACAGTAAATGGAAAAGCCCTGGGGAAAATTGATGCGCAGAGATCTGGGTGTTCAGGTCCATTGTACCCTGAAAGTGGCAACACAGGTCGATGGAGTCGTCAAGAAGGCATACGGCATGCTTCATTCATTGGACGGGGTATTTGAGTACAAGAGTTGGCAGGTCATGTTACAGTTGTATAGGACTTTGGTTTGGCCACGTTTGGAATACTGTGTACAGTTCTGGTCGTCACATTACCAAAAGGATGTGGATGCTTTGGAGAGGCTGCAGAGGAGGTTCACCAGGATGTTGCCTGGTGTGGAGGGCACTAGCTATGAAGAAAGGTTGAGTAGATTAGGATTATTTACATTAGAAAGACGGAGGTTGAGGGGGGACCTGATTGAGGCCTACAAAATCATGAGAGGTATAGACAGGGTGGATAGCAAGAAGCTTTTTCCCCAGAGTGGGGGACTCAGTTACTAGGGGTCACGATTTCAAGGTGAGAGGGAAAAAGTTTAAGGGAGATATGCTTGGAAAGTTCTTTACGCAGAGGGTGGTGAGTGCCTGGAACGCATTGCCAGCGGAGGTGGTAGAGGCAGGCACGATAGCGTCATTTAAGATGTATCTAGACAGATACATGAATGGGCAGGGAGCAGAGGGATATGGATCCTTGGAAAATAGGCGACAGGTTTAGATAGAGGATCTGGATTGGCGCAGGCTTGGAGGGCCGAAAGGCCTGCTCCTGTGCTGTAATTTTCTTTGTTCTTTATTCTTTATTACCATGGAAAGGGAAGGTGTCTCAAAAATTTGAACAATAAATGAAACTAGATGTCTTATCCTGTTACTAAGCAAAGGATCCATGGTGGATTTCTGCAATAACAGCACTGCCAGTCAAAAAATTTGCTTTATGTACCACACAAATGAGTAATTTCATGAGTTCTTGTGTCAGTGTGATGCCAGATATGATAAGCCGTACATCCCAATACGTGGTCAACCTTATCAAATAACACATCCCATTGACCATTCATATGCTGCTCATATTCAACCAGACTCTGCTTGCAATTGTCCAGTATATCCACTATTACATGTTATTTTGCTGTTGGAAATCACATACTAAATAGTCCGGACTGTGACAGAAACCAATTTAAGATTATCACTTGAGCTTGCAGTGTGATGTATTTACATATGCTAGGGACCCCTTTTTTACACAAACAAAAGGAATTTGGGCTTGCATCAGACCTTTTACTAATATAAAGATTAAGGGAGATAGCCAAACTGTTCTGCAGCCTTATGACAAGGTGCTGACCAATCCACCTGTCTGGTCTGAGAATTAAGTTTGACAGTTGACCGTTCTTGCTGCATCTCCATTCCAATGTGGCCCAACTAATCAGCATCCTCTTCTCATTCTGTATAAAATGGGGCCTTTTTTGTCCCCCCTTGTTTCTTGTGTCCAGAGTTTTGATGAGTATAAGGCATAAAGCTTCAACCTCCAGACTATTTTTAGCAATGCTTAAGATGTATTTGAATTTGCAAGAGCAGAAATTTAACCTTTTAAAAGACAGCATGTCATGATTTTGGCCATATACTTAGAGCTGAAAAAACTCCAGAGATATTTAAGCGCAAAGTGGAGGGCAACAGAAAAATGGTTAGACCTAGGTATTTGATGACTGACATCAGAGTAGTTGCAAATGACCTACAGTGGATGTGTGAGGATGGTTGCAAGACAGACTAGTGCAACATATCATGAGAGTAAATCTCGTTGTAGGAGTAGCAACAGCAGCATGGATTTTCAATACTGGATTAATATCTCACCTGAATTTTCAGTTCTCCATGGTAAAAAAGACTCGGACTGTTTATCCCCTCTTCTTAGCTCACATGCCTTAAATATATTAATCTAATCTCTGTTTTCTGGACTGCCTCAAATACCTGGGTCTACTTATTGCAAAACCAAAGCCAGAATTTCATACAGTACAGTTCCTGAAACAACTTTAGTGATTGGATTAATTTATGTATGGCTTTGATAGCTTAAAAAATTTCTTACTGTTGCAGAAAAAAGTTATTTAGTGTATGATTTGTTTCTTTCTTTCTGTAGAAATACCAGATATTATCAATACAAAGCATTTGAAAGTCTTCAGGTAAGAGAACTATGTTTACTTTATTGCCTCAATTTCCAACCTACAAATTAACTCTTGAGTGCCGAAAAAGAGAATAATTAGCCTGTAATGTCTTCTATTATGTGGTTTTGAATAGTTTATTTGTGGGTTAAAATATACTGAGCTGATATTCAGTTATTTGATTTGATGCATCTTTTCAGATTTCAGTAAGTCAAGCAGATGACATAGGTTTGGCCTGCTGAATTTGCCATATTCTAAATAGATTGAAATTCCCGAATTGGAATTACAACAAGATATAGAATAAGTGAGGAGTAAAATATTTTATTAGGGTATCTGATTGCATCCACCTAATCAAAAATACAGTTAGTGCTTACCTATTTAATACACCGGTCATTTGTTTTTAAATTCTAGACATAATTAAATGACTATCTTTTTCTGTACATGAATAATTGGACAGATGTCTGAATTATCAGTTAAACTGACATTGCATGGTAATGAAAGGAACATCATGTGCTAATACAGACCTTCTGCTTCTTGGAAACATTCCCTCTGTCCTGGAGTATCAAACTAAATAGTGTGCTTGGTTCTGTGTCAACTTGAGCATACAACATTGATTTTCCAGCAGGCAAGCCACCAACTGATCCAAGTGTGTGTTTAATGAATACAGCTTACAACAGAAAGCTATCGGTTGAGTCTTTTGTATTCAGAATCTTCATTTTGCTTTAATTTTTCTGATTCATTTTTCTTTTCACTCTCAAGAGAGTGGGATGGAAATTTAAAAAAGCTTCCAAATGTGAAGATGAAGAAACTCTCAATAAAAGATTCGGTTGCTAACCAGAAAAGAAGCAAAGATGAAAGAGGAGTAGGTTCGCAAAATGAGGTGGATCAAGAGCATGTGTCAGAACATTAAGGAAACAGAAATAAAATAAGAGATTGTCAAATTATCATTAGGGAAAAGCCACTTCATCAGCTGTTGAGCAATGTGATCCATGAGTTAGCTTCTTCAGATTCCTACCTTGCTGCCTCGTTATTGCATATGAAGTGGTTTCCATCAGAATGTCCGACTTAGACTTTAATTCATTTTGAATTAGCAATTATCGAGTACATTTTTTTTATATTTACTAAAGAAAATTGGCCTAGAAAGCAATGTTTATTAAAAGCTGCAAGTGCTATGAAATGTTTAAAATGCTGCATGTTGCTGTTGATCTTTCACTGCTGTGTTGCTATTGCTGAGAATGTTTCTTTCATTTTTCCCAACATTGTGAAAAAATTTATTTTGCGAGGTTACAGTTTTTAAACTTAATGGTAAAGCTGTTTTTTTCTCATCTTCTGCCACAGTTTGGTAAATGCAGGAATTGCTTTTTATTTAAGGAAGATTTATCGTTAATTCGATGAAAAGGCAATGGGATTCTTAGATTGCTCAATAGGAAGTAGAGAAAACTAGGGAAATTAATCTATCATTACCTTAGATTTTTTGATTAGCATTATTATGACCAATTATTCAATATTTAAATGTTGCTGATGTGGCAGGGTGAGGAGTGATTGGGTTGTGGGGAGAAAGATTAGCCTTAAATCCAGTACCTATTTAAAACAAATCCTAGCACACATCAAAATTTTTTGCCCTAAAAAAGGATTGGGGAGGGGTAAGGATTTTTATATCTATAAGAAAATGAATATGAAAATGAATTTATATCAATTAGAAATGAAACCAGAATTCCCTGCAGTATTATTTATGAACTGCCTGAGCAATATTCTGTATTTGAATTGTTGGCACTGACTTTACAAAAATATTTCAGCTGATTTTTTTGGATCACACATCTCTCGAGTAAGCTGAGAGTAATAAAGTTGAATTCTCTTTTTTGGTTTTGTTTGATAATGTTCCTATGAAGTGCCTTGAGATATTTTATATGTTTTTACTGTGCTATATAAGTGCAAATTGTCAAAGGAAAATATCCTATAAAATTACTTCTTTGGAAGGATGTGAAAGTGAACTGATGTTAATAACGTTCTTGTTTAATGAATGTATTTAAAATGTACTGTTTCTTCAAGAATTTCTTAATGATTTTTACAGTTTTCTTTAACAAAAAATGTTCCATGCTTAGTAAGCTTATAACTGAAAAGAATAGAAGAGTTTACAATCTCCTTGGCCTTCTCAGGTGAATAACTTTGATAGTTCTCATGTAGGAAATTTTGGCTTCTGTTGCCTGCCTGCTCCTCTTCCTTCTGCTGTACCACCTTGATGCCCAGGGTTCTGGCCTTCCTGAGTAGTGTGCTACCCTGCAATGCCACTAGGTCCAATATCTGATGGTTGTAACCCCGTTGCAAATTGGAGCCTTCCATTTGGTAGGTTGCTACTCAATTGTCCTTGATTAAATTAGCCCCTTCTTTTCTGTCCGTGAGATGTGAGAGGGGTATGGGCCCCATTGAAAGCCCATGCACTGAGTGACCACTGTGTCTGTGACTTGAACAACATTGAGAGCTCCCCTTGGAAAAGACCATGTTATTGTCTTTCAGAACTGTGATAATGCCTGGATAGCCATGTCCCCTATACTCGCCTCCATTCAGTGATCATTACCATCCTGTGCACCTCATTCAAAATCTTTACCTTTTTTAGTTTTGTTTTTTAATGGGATGTGGGCGTTGCTGGCTAGACCAGCACTTATTGCACATTCATAATTGCCCAAGGGCAGTTTGGAATCAACCACATGCAAGAGTCATAAATAGACCTGACTGCAAGAGGATGGCAGAAGTTCTTGCCTAAAAGGTGTTACTGAACTAGAGAGGTTATTACAATAATTGATAGTGCTTACATGACCTCAATGAGGCTAGATCTCACGTCTTTATTGAATTCACATTTCTCAATCTGTTATGGTGGGATATGTACTTGCATCCCCAGAACATTAGCCTGAGATTCTGGATTTCTAGCCCAGTGACATTGCTATTAAACCATTGCCTTGTTAAGAATGCTTGAGTTTTTAAGTTTTTAAACAAACTTCAATGGGGTGGAGACCAAGTTCCTGTCCTACCCTCCCTCCACTCTCCTGGCATCTGGAACAGCTTGTTGCAATTGACTGACACCTAGTGTGATATTTTTAGGGGCTTTTTCCTGGACTTTGTTTGTGTAGGGTGGTGGGGAGATGAAAATTCGGTCTCTTTGTTTGTTTCTGAATAGCCCTAATGGGGATAGTGTGCATTTTCACCTGCTATCTCACAGTTAGTGTTTATCAGGAACATTTTTCACTTTGGACATTTTCTTGTACACCATTAAACCCTGTTTTTCTGCAGGAACGCAGTGACATAATGATAATGTTGCTGGAGAAGTATTCCAATGATCCAGATTAATGGTCTGTAACTGGTGAAATTTAAATTCAATGATTGAAACTGGATGTATGAAGTCATACACTTTGGTAGGATGAAACAGAAGGCAGACTATGATTTAATTGGGAAGAGCCTCCAAAGGAGCACAACAGAAGGATCTGAGTGTTCCTGTGCATGGAACGCACTAGGTTAGCGTGCAGGTGCAGCAAATAATGAAGACGACAAATGGAATTTTGGCCTTCATTGCTAGGATGTTGGAGTTTAAAACTAAAGAAGTTTTGTTGCAACAGTACAGGGTGTTGGTGAGGCTGGAGTATTGTTACAGTTTTGGTCTTTGTGTTTTAGAAAGGATTGGAGGTAGTTCGAGATTCAGTAGGCTTGGCTGAAGTGGGTTGACTGATCATGAATGACTAACAAAGATTTGGACTTTGTTCTTTAGAGTTTAGAACTAGATGTTGAGTGGGGAAATCTCAAACAAGGGGACATAATTACAGAATAAGGCAACACTAATTTAAAATGAAAATGTGAAGGAATTTCTCCCAAAAGTAGTGAATGTCTGGAATTCTCTACCACAGAGTGGTGGCGGCTAGATCACTGAAAGTATTTAAATATAACAAGGAATTGACAGCTATGAGGAGCTAGCAAAAAATAGCTGTGGTCTAGGACTGGTCAGCCATAATCTTGTTGAATGGTGGGCAGTCTTGAGTGGCTGACTGGCCTACTTGTGCCGTTATTATGTTCTTACCTGACCTATTGCCTTTCCTATGTGCTGTCATAGGACTCAGGTGGCCCCCATCCCAAAGCATGTTGCTCTTGGTGGGGCATTCATGTTAGCTGGTTTTAACATCAAAAATAGAAAATTATAGAACAGAAGAAAGCTATTTGGCCCACAATGGGGTGGAGACCAGGTTCTTGTTGTACTCTCCCTCCAGTCTGCTGGCATCTGGAACAGCTTGTTATTGACTGGCACCTAGTGTGATATTTTTAGTAGCTTATCCCTGACTTTCATTTGTTTGGGATGGTGGGGGAGTGAAAATTCAGCCCCTCTACTTGTTTCTGAATACCCCTGATAAAGCAGGTTTTCACCTGCTATCTCTCAGTTCGTGTTTCTCAGGAACATTTTTCAATTTGGGCATATTCTCGTACACCGTTAAACCCCATTATACTGCAGGAAGGCAGTGACATAGTGATGACCTCGTTGGAGAAGTATTCCAAAGGTCCAGGCTAATGGTCAGTAGCTAGTGGTATTTGAATTTCAAAGAATCAACCTGTATATTGCTGCACAGTTAACATTGTGGGCTGAAGGACCCGTTCCAGTGCTGTGCAGTTCTAGGTACAGTTGCCCCACCATGGCAAGCAGTGGGAATTCGGTATCCTGCTTGTGGGCTACGTCCTAGAAATTGTATTGAACAGGGTGGTGCACAGATGAGACTTCTTTTTCCCGCAGGATCATCTATGGAGGCCACAACACCAGAAAATGGCAGTCTGGCCTTAAGTTAGCACCCAAGTTAAAATACTCTCAGCTGTTTGGAGGAATGCCCAGTACCAGAGGAAGGAGGTCAATGTCCTTCACCACTTCACCAGTTAAGTGCCACCATCTTCTCTCTGACCCCTCAGACTCACTCCACTGGACCCACTTCCCACCAAGGCCAGTCTACCACTCTCACTATTACATGCAACAACTTTCCCATTCGCCCTCATTCGCCAGTTCCTGACACCACTAGCCCTACATGTAATTTGCATTGCTTGCTCACTCAATTAGGACACCACCTCATTGACACCAGTGATAGCTGTGCCACTCACTTACCTCTTCACTAATATTTGTCTCCCATTCCAGGAGAAAATCAGCCCACAATAGGGCAGACAGAGTTAAGGTGGCCTGCCTCATTTGGCTCCTCACCCGTCATGCAGAGAGGATCTTGACTTCTGACCACCCTGAATAGGGCCTGAGTTGTGCCGTAAACGCCATCCCTGTTGACTGGTCTGAGGTCTGCTGACTTAGTGTCAGCACTAAATGGTACATCCTTTTGCCTCTATGCGGTCCATGTTCCTCTATTTCTTCTATCTCTCAAGATGCCTGTTCAACGTTGGTATTGTATCTGCTTCTCTCACCACCTCTGGCAGAGCATTCAGGCACTTACCACTCTCCGTGTAAAAAAAATAGAATAAAACTTGCCTCTGCTATCTGCTTTCAGTTTTCCCGTTTTACCTTAAATCTATGTCCACAGTAATTAACATTTCCACCCTCGGAAAAAGACTCCATTTTAACCATGTCTGTCATAATTTCGTAAACTTCTATCAGATGGCCCCACAACCTACGTTCATAGGAAAACAAACCAAGTTTGTCCAATCTCTTTTCATAGCTGATACCCTCCAAGCCAGGCAACATCCTGGTAAACCATTTCTGTATCCTCTCGAAAGCCTCCATATCCTTCTGGGTAGTGTGTTGACCAGAACCGCATGCAATATTCTAAATGTGACCTAAATAATGTTCTATACAACTTTCTTTATTCATTCATGGGATGCGGGCATCGCTAGTTAGGCAGTATTTATTGCCCATCCCTAATGGCCCAGAGGGCAGTTAAGAGTAAACTACATTGCTGTGGGTCTGGAGTCACATGTAGGCCAAACCAGGTAAGGATGGCAGTCTCCTTCCCTAAAGGACATTTGTGAACCAGATGGGTTTTTCATGACAATCGACAATGGATTCATTGTTAAGAGTCTTCATTCCACAACTGCAATGTGACATACCAACTTTTGTATTCTATGCCCTGACTAATTAAAGGCAAGCATGCAATTGGCCTCCTTCACCATCTTATCCACTTGTGTTGCTACTTTCAGGGAACTGTGAACCTGTACACGCAGATTCCTCTGTATACTAATGATTTTAAGGGTTCTGCCATTTACTGTGTACTTCCTTCTTTCATTCAACCTTCCAAAATGCATCACCTCACATTTGTCTGGTTTAAATTCAATCTGCTATTTCTCTGCCTGAAGTCTCCAGTCTGCCTATGTCCTGCTCTATCCTTTGGCATTCCTCCTCATTATTCACTGCTGCCCCAATCTGTCCCTTTGTCCACTCTCCTAGTCTGTCCAGGTCCTTCTGCAGCCTCCCTGCTACCTCAACACTACCTGTCCCTCCACCTATCTTTGTGTCACTTGCAAACTTAGCAACAATGCCCTCAGTTCCTTTGTCCAGGTTTTTAAAAGTTATTAAAAGATTATGTTGGTTGCTCTGGCTCTTTGGTATTTTGTAAAAACAAAAAGATCCAAAATAGCTCAGTGGTTAGCCCTGCTACCTCATAGTGCCAGGGATATGGCTTCGATTCCACCCTCCACACTGTCCATGTGGATTTTGCACATTCTCCCCACGTCTGCGTGGGTTTCCTCTGGGTGCCCCAAGGTGCAAAGATGTGCAAGTTAGATGGATTGACCATGCTAAAGTGTCCAGGGATGCACAGGCTAGGTGGATTAGCCATGGGAAATGTAGGGTTACAGGGGTAGGGCCCAGGGCTGGATGGGTGCTCTTTGGAGGTCGGTTTGGACTCGATGGGCCCATATGGCTGCTTCCATACTGTAGGGATTCTATGAAAGGAACACGTGCTGTAGAAGTCAGTTCTCAATTATTAACTATTTTTTCCAAAATTACCTTGGCAACCAACAAAGATTTATAGTTGTGTTTGCAGCAAGTTTTCCAAACAGTCCTGAGAAGAAAATCCCTAATATGGAAAGAACAGGCTTTTAGGTTTATGCATTATTTCTTACTGTAAATCAGATGTCACAATTTATTATTGAACTTTTGTTTTAGTTAGGCAGAGATGCTGCTGACTTGTAGTGTTTTCCTAAAGATTTACTACTTGTCAACCCATTATTTCCATTTATATAACAGAAGGAAAATGTGATGTAGTCACATTAGACTGTTGATTTGTATTAGCATAATTTTATTTGGGTGTGTTCAGTACACGGTCAAATTTTAATGACAGCTGCATCTAGTTTATGTTCATACGTATTTAAGTTGTATTCTGTTATGGTGCACATAACAAGGGGTAAAATGGGATGCTGTCAGACAGTCTGGTAGTGACAGGGCTTTGGTCTCTCAAAATGTGACCAAATTAATTCTAAACGCTTTTTTCAATTGATGTTCCAGATGTATCCAGTTTTTTTTAAAAATTAATTTGTGGCTGAGGGTATCACTGTCTAGGCCAGCATTTATTGCCTACTCCTAATTGCCCAGAGGGCCGTTAAGAGTCAATCACATTACTGTGGGTCTGGAGTCACATGTAAGCCAGGCAGGTAAGGATGGCAGATTCCTTCCCTAAAGGGCATTAGTGAACCAGGTGGGCTTTTTGACAATTGGCAATGGATTCGTTACACTGTTAATTCCAGATTTATTTTTTAAAAGTTGATTTCAAATTCTACCATTCGAATCAGGTTCCCAAGAACATTACCTGGATCTCTGGATTAACAATCCAGTGATAATACCACTTGGCCACTGCCTGCCCTCTTAGCCAATATTTCTGAGGTTCAACAAAGGGCTGTCAAAGTTGTAGGAAAGCACATCAGCCTTGTGAGATATTAAATGAGAGACATGTAAGTACCATACTTTGTGTCTGTTTGTCAGTGATAGCATGGAAGGATAACGACATTT